TTTTTCAAGGTAATGGTTTTGGATGCCAGAGAGAGGATTGTATAGCACATCAACCTTTTGAGTGCTTCCAGCAAATCCCATCACACCCACCCCATTCCCCTGCCCTCCAAACAGTACAGTTTTCAAACAGTGAAGCTTTATCTTGGGCTTAACTATAAGTCAAAGGTATGAATTCATGTCTGATTCTACCGAAATCCCTGTTGGTCCAGCATAATGTTGTCACATACTACAGGGCCAGTTAAATGTGGTGAATGGATGGATGGATGAATGAGTAAATAATGAGCTTTAGTCTCAGCAGCACAGGTGATTTGCTATAAATGCACCTTTGCTGGGTCTGTGGACACCTGCACCACACCCTAGCATGAATTCAGCACAACCATGGCTTTCAATTCCCAAATCCAACTCACTGTCTCCAGGAAGGCTTTCTCAATTAGCTGCAGACTCTCTCTTATCTCTTTAGTCTCATTTCTTATCATTGTTTCCCTGGAGCCTTCCCCTTCTCCCCCACCCTTCTTCTGTTCCCTTTAAACACTTTGCTCCTGTCTTACTGACCTACTGCAAACTTTCCAGGAACGCTTTGGGGTGTTCCTTCCTAGAGCTTGAATACCCTGATCTCTCTCTCTCTCTCTCTCTTTCTCTGTATTTGTCTCTCTTTCTCTCTCCCCTTTTCACCAAGTAAGCCCTACTTTTCCTTCAGGTCTCTATCAGGAAGCCTTTCCTGATCTTTTTGTCCCATGTCTGAGTTAGATGTTTCCTACCTGAAATTCGAGGACCCAAGGACTTCTCTGCTGCTAATTGTTTATTTGCATATTTGCACCTTAATTTTTACCATTAAACTGTTAGCATCTTCAGAGCAGAGAACTTAACTCATCCATGGCTAGGGTCTTAGTGACTAGAACAATGCCTGGCATACCCTCAGTGCTCAAAATCTACCTACAGAAGTAATGAATGAATAAATAAATGGATGAATACAACCAAACTGTGTATGTGTGAGTGTGAGTGGATAACTGTGGAGTCTACAAACATTTATCAAGCAAATGTATTTCACAGGGCCTAGTTTCCAAAGCCCTGTAGTTTAAGGTATAACCTAACTTTTAAAAATTACATATGGAAATGTTAAGTTTGCAAAAGACAGGAAACTTTCCCCAGGCTAAAATCTCTGTTGTAGATAAAGAATTGTAACACAGCAAAGTTGTTGGCTCAAGGACAGATGCCCTTGGAGCAAGTTAACCTAAAGTTGCTTTATTGTTATGTAAAAATACTGAGGAAACTGCTGTAGGAAAAGATAGTATTTGCTAAGAACAAGCTTTTGTTGGTGGATCTACTTAACTTTTGCAAATTGCATTATGGAATGTCACTTTGTTATTTCATTGATGTTACCAGCCTCTATNGACAGGAAACTTTCCCCAGGCTAAAATCTCTGTTGTAGATAAAGAATTGTAACACAGCAAAGTTGTTGGCTCAAGGACAGATGCCCTTGGAGCAAGTTAACCTAAAGTTGCTTTATTGTTATGTAAAAATACTGAGGAAACTGCTGTAGGAAAAGATAGTATTTGCTAAGAACAAGCTTTTGTTGGTGGATCTACTTAACTTTTGCAAATTGCATTATGGAATGTCACTTTGTTATTTCATTGATGTTACCAGCCTCTATTGTTAAACTATACTTAGCCATAACTCCACCTATGTTCCTTTTCTGTAACTTTCTGGCCTGGAGAATAAATACTGAGAAAGAACCCCAGTTCAGGGTTAATTTCCCAAGGAGGAATGCTTGAGTATTCCAGGGAATTAACCCCTCTGGGGTTTCTCACTGCTCAGAAGAAATGGGTTTTGAGTAATCCTTTGCATCTCCATCACCCACAGGAAGAGAGGTGACAAAGAGAGTGCAACAGGTAACACTTTGTCATGGAAATGCTACTCTCAAGACCTGAAAGTGACTGAGTAAGAAGATGTGAAAGACGCTTATGGAGCTTCTATGTAATTTTAATGGGACTTTCATGTATCCTACTTCATTAATAAAGGGAAGAAATGGAGTGCTCCAGCATCTTTTATCTTCTGTCTATATTAAATATACCAGAATTCCTCCCTCTGCCAATAAAATTTCAGGTAAATTACTTGATTTTGTGGATAGACTGCTGACCTTAAGCATATGCGTGATATCTTGCTTAATAAGGACATTGACTGGTATGGTGCACTTTAAAATGACTTGATTTTATCACGAACCTGTCAACTTTGGATGCAGTGGGGTCATCCTCTCTATAGGGGCAGGTGTGGGGCCAGGATGCAGGTGCTTTGGGGTCACCTCTCCCCTCGCTCCACCGGTGCTTGCTATATGGCTCTGACATTCTCAGTCATCCCTTGGTGGCTGTGGGCACAACTGACCTGTTGGATGACTATCTTCTCTGCCATCTCCCAGCTGTGGGTGGCTCACTGTTGGCACAGAGGGGGCATAGGCCTTGGGGACTTCTGTGTAGATTTTCATAAGAGTTTAAACATCCTTGGAAGCCCTTATGAGCTGAATGGTGGCAAAATCATGATGTAAAGCCAGGATTTAGAGGAGAATCAGAGCATAAAGATTTGGAAAATTTGCAGCCTGGTCATGTGGTAAAGAAGGGGAGAGCCCATGAACAATGCAATGGTGAAGCAGATAAACTGGTTGTTAAGGACATTATCTTGGTGGTGAGGCAGCCAGATGCTAAGAAGCAGGACAATGGAAAAAATGCCCTAAAAGCATTTGAGAACTCTGGAAGGGTGCCCACCCATCACAGACCCTGAGGCCCAGAAGGACTGAGTTGTCCCAGAGGACAGACCTGGGGTGCAGTTGCCCTTGGGAACCTGCTCCCTGTATCCCACCTGCTCTGGCTGGAGCACACCCAAGTGTGTTTCGTGCAGCAGCCCTATAGAGTAGAGGCCTGAAACCTCGGTGGCGTCCATGTTGTGTTAAGTCTGCAGGCCGGCAGGACGTGAGAGCAGTGGAGGTGTGGTAGCCTCCACCCAGGTTCCAGTGGATGTATGGAAAAGCCTGGGGACTGAGGCAGAGACCTACCGCAGGGGCAGAGTCACCACAGAGACCATCTACTAGAACAATGCCGAGTAGGAATGTGGGGTCAGATTCCCCACAAAGAGCCTCCACCAGGGAAATGTCTAGTAGAGCCAAGACAGCAAGGCTTCTGCCAGGACCCAAGAACTGCAGGGCCATGGATAACATGCAACACCAGCATGGAAAAGCTGCAGGCACCAGTGCTGCCCACTGGGCTTCACCTGACAGAGCTGTGGAAGCGAGGTTGTCCAAGGCTTTGGAGACCCAGATGCCCAATTGTGCCCGGATGCAGGACTTGGAGTCAAAGAACATTATTTTGGAGCTTTAAGACATAATGTCTGCCCTGCTGGGTTTTGGACTTGTTTGGGGCCTGTTTTTCCTTTCTTCTGGCCTATTCCTCCCTTTTGGAATGGGAATGT